ATATATATAGAGTTCACTGGTTGTAACTACTAAATATGATATTGTTATAACTACATGTATCATATGCTTTCACATCTATAGACTATACCTTCTTGAGACCTTACCAAAAACGGTAAATTATTATTACCGATATTTCTTTCGCAGGTTTAGAGATATGACTTGGTTTGGTTTTCTTGTTCTGTTTTGGCTCATTTGGGTGTTGTTCCCATGTCAAGGTTTGAACTCTCAGACTTTTCCTTTAGTGTCTCTAGTATATGATCGGTGGCATTAAAGCAAGTCAGGCTCACTATCTAAAAATAGAAATCTTGTTATTACATTTCCCAAAATAGGAAGTGTTTCCAGCGTTTATCTCAGGATTAGGTGGATAACCCATTGAACTCAATGGATAACCACACCACACAAACGAGATATAAACTTGAAAGTAGCAACAGTTTTTGTACATGTATACTTCGATGGGCAAATTCATGTGTACATATGGTTGTATCTAAAATTCTAAATTCTATCAATTTTGTATAGCGAATTTAAAATGTTATATCAGTGTGTAGGAACTACACGAGGTGTTTGGTCAAACATTTTAATGATCAACAAATTGTGAAAAAAAAATGACACAAGATTATGATATTTAGGAATTGTCCAGTCACCAGCAAGTGGAAACAAAATGACTTTGTTACCAGGATCAACTGGCAAAATAGTGTGGTCATTTGATGATGATATATCTGTTGTGTTTTCACGATCTTGGGCTTTCACAAGTACAGACGGTTCCTTCAGTAACACTGTACTTACACGTATAGCTGGTGATGGTAACGCTAGAATGCTCTTCAGCTTTCCTGTGATTACAGTAGAAAAACCAGCAACATTGGTTTTAAAGAACGTTAATCGCCGCTATGATGGGAAATACAAGTTCACACTCCAAGCACGTTCCGATACTTCTTCTGAAGTTACCGTCTTCATCGCAGGCAAGTTATTTCTAATCATGTACCAATAAATTTATTGTTTAACTAGAAATACATGCATGCAGCAACCCCTCGCCATTTTAAACGAAGCAAAATATTTCGTGCGCTACCCAGACCTAACTTTCTGCGCTAATATTATGAAATAACTCGTGAAAATTTTTCGGAAACAAACACAGTCGTAAAGGTGAACAGAAATCACCTGTTTGCCTGCTGCATTATGTTGCAGTTTAAGTGAGTGTTAAACTTTTCTATAGCTAAACCTTCAAAACATCAAAACAGCACAAATAATTATAATATTAAACCATACAAGCACTAAACGTCGAATGTTGTTTTTCGATTATTTATTCTATTCAATGATTTTAGCGACTATATAAGCTGCAAAGTTATATTTGTTTTATCAAAACTCAGAAGTACACTTTTGAGAACTCTTTTTAAAGTTTAAGCGATGATGTAAAGCCTTAAACGGTCGGTTAGCTCCTTGTAAAACGACATACCAAGCTCGTACAGTCGTACTTGTCAAAATAACAATGCATTCTTACAGCAAACACTGAATAAGCAAAATATAGACACCTACCACTTCAAAGATTTTAAACTACGAGTCGTTCCTATTTCACCAACTGTTTCTGTGCTGTGATGACCTTTAAATCTTTTATTATTGTTTTAATATTTGACTGCATGATTTCATTTTATATTTTTAAAAAATAGTTTCCAAAATGACGGTTGAAATGCTGACGCTTCCATGCATGCTCTCTTTTTGTCTTAGCCAATCAGCAAGTTGTAGACGACCGTTCTTTCTTGGTTCAAATTTCGCGCATGCGCACAACTACCATGACCATTGAACGTCTATGACATTTTGGGCAACTTTAGATTCGCCTTGTTCTGTCAGAATACCCGGGTGTAATTCCTAATCTCCAGGCGGAATTAGTACCCTCGCACGGCGCTTCGCGCCGCCGGCTCGGGGACAAACTGGTCTTATGACAATAATTTTAAGACATATAATTTAATTGAGGTATTAAAAAAGCATAATACTATCCCACATGGCCCAAATACGCTAGTTATTCTGATTACAATTATAATTGAATAGAGACAGAATGATTGCTCCATTAATCTCTCTGGAGATTATAATTACGAAAAACGCGACAGTATGGAAAACAGTCCTTAAAGGCTGCTTTACAGTTACGCGTTTTTCATACGCACGTACACGCACGTAAAAGTCTAAATCCTTATGCATGATATCTTTTAAAAAACTAAGTAAATAAATCGAAGGAACTTAGTTTCCTGCTTATTTTAGTATGCGTTAGTTGACCTAGATGTTAAATAATGAAAATTTAAAAGCATTTAAAATTTTCCGTACGTTTAAGTGCGTATATATAAAAAACGCGTAAGTGGAAAGCAGCCTTAAGCAAGCGGACGTAACATTACAGAATGACTAACTCGTACTATATAACTATACGAAATACTTACAATAATTGATGTGCCAGTATATATGCATTTTAGAGAAACCAAATGTGACATTAAGTTGTCCCAGTCTCGTCAGACTATATGAAGGTGAGAACTTTACCTGTCACTGTTATGGTAAAGGTGGAAACCCTCCTGCGAAGGTCATCTGGTATAAAGATGGCAACTATACAGGTTTTAAAAAAGATAATCAAACCTTGAAAATCTCAAATATTAGTGGAGCAGAAAGTAGAACCTACACGTGTTATGCCACAAGCTACCCTCATGAAAATTATACAGATGAAAAATCATTCGTTGTAATAGTTAATTGTAAGTAGGCGTTTTTTATATACCCAAGAGTGCAGTTAGAGTGAAGGCGGTTTTCCTCTATGCTGAATTTTTCACCGTGACCGGTAAAGGGAATTTGCTACCTTTGAATTTTCACAATTGGAAAAAGAACTAAAGCGAAAATTTTCGATCGATCAAAAAATTACGCCTACTGGAAAACGGCCTTAAAGCACTATACACCATACACTGGCGGTCAAACAGAACTGCTTAAAACAAGTTAAAATGCTCTCAAATGAACGTAACTGTCCCTCTAATAACATATGCAAGTAAATATAGTAAGCTATATGAAATATTAGCATTTTGTTGACCCTCCTTTGACCTTGATGACGGCCTTACACCGCCGTGGCGTACTTTCTGTTGAGATAGTAAACTTAGCTAAAGAAAATTCACCCCACGCCCATGGACAGTCTTCACAGCAACCCATGCATAAACCTATTGTCCCACAGATTCTATGCAATAGGGTTAAGCCTTAAGGTCTTTTGACTGTGTAGGCCAATCCATTTCTGTCACTCCCTCTTCCTGAAAGAAAGTTGCGTTACATTATTGAAATATTGTTTTGTTCTTTTAACAGTTAAACCTACGAAAACAGTAATAAAATTCTCACAGAACCCAGCTGTAATTAATAAGTCAGTAACTATAACGTGTAGGTCTGAAGGGTCTCCTCAACCAAGTTATACCATATACCATAATGGCACCAAAGTCAATAGTACTGGCAATCCGTATAGCATACCTAAATTGAAGTGGAAGGATGCTGGAAGATATAATTGCATTGCAAGTAATTTATTGGGGAACGATTCCGATTCTGATTTTTTTTACATTGAAGGTAAGTCGACATAACGCGTTTTCTTCTTCTTCGTTAACAGGTGAAACACGAGCGCGGGAACATAAAAACCATTTACAAAGGAGGCTATAATCCTTTTAATTATATTTAAGTGAAGCTTACAAAAATCTAATAGTCGTACACGTAAGAAACTAGCCTATCGAGGCGAATTTCTCACTAAAAACTATCCGCACACAAGAGTAACTTGCTGAGCTAACAGCCTCGCGTGGTCTTTAGCTCACGTAGTCTTTAGCTCACGTGGACAATTCGCCAATTTCATTATCAATTATTCTATAGCTGTTTTATTGTAAATCGACAACATTTACTTTATAATAACAGTTCTTAATAAAAGTTCACAACATTTAATGGCCGCCTATAATAGGATTTGACGTCACCGACTCGATGATGCACCAGTGACATAACCGGATGTCATCCACGTGGTAAAAAGCTCGACACGACCAACTAGGCCTTTCTAATAATTTCGGCCCGATGCTTTGCATGAAATTGGCGTATTTACACTGTGATTAGGAAGATCAGACGATGGAAATACGAACACTGACACAACAGTGTATAATGATATTTGTCTTAAATTGCGACGACGAGAACGCAAATTAGTATATCACTTATTTGAGAACACTGTTAATTTCAAGGAGTAGATACTACTCCAAAAAAGGAGTAAAAAAAAAGGTACCAGTTGACTCTGATTTGGGAGTATATTTTACTCCATTAATTTAACTCCATTTTTAGAGTACTTTCTACCTCACTTATGGAGTAATATTTACCCTTGCAGGAGTAAAAAATACTCCAGTTTAAAGTTTTACTCTTATTTTGGAGTTAAAAATATACTAAAAGTGGAGTATTTTTTATTCCTTATGGGAGTTAAAACTACTCTAAATGAAACTTTTACTCTAAATTTGGAGTAAATAATACACCAATAGTGGAGTACATTTTTATTCTTAATGGGAGTGAAAACTACTCTAAATGAAACTTTTACTCTAAATTTGGAGTAAATAATACACCAATAGTGGAGTACATTTTTATTCTTAATGGGAGTGAAAGCTACTCTAAACTAAATTTTTACTCTTGTTTGGGGATAAAAAATATACCACAACTGGTGTAATTCCTTATTATGAGAATGAAAACTACTTTAACCCATTAAGCTGCAGAGCTTCCCCAGGCAGTGTTAGACAAGTAATGTAACAAATGTTACTTCATATTAACAATAGTAAAAATAAAGCAATAAAATTTTAATTATAAAACATATATTTGCTGGAATCAGGTATTTAGGATGGTTATAATGCTATAAAATAGTACATGCAATCACCTATATTAATACTTATAGTTTCTTTATGATTACCTATATACAATGGCTTATTCATGTGTAAATGTCATTCCAGTTGCTGAAGAAATTTGTTTATTGCCACTCTTTTCTTAGCCTCCTCAGTTCTCTGCATCATAGCAGCTTCCAGGATCAACCTACAAAAAATATATTGTAAAAAAGCAGATTTAACAAACCATTTACAACAGCAGGGATTTTATACCTTAAAAACTGACTTGCTCAATTTACTTGAACGGTGTTGACCACCAAGCAGGGCTCTCAATGGCCAAAGCAGGCCATATTTTAGAATATTTAGGCCATATTTGACCGCGTAGCTCAGTTAGCAGAGCATTGGACTAGTATTCCAAAGGTCGTAGGTTCTAGCCCCACCATGGTCAGGCATATTTTTCAAGCTTGCCCGGTGTGGATATATACTCTCAGAGTAACAACACAATCATATTATTCACCTGAGTGCACTGCACAAGATATACAGAAAAATTATAACCTACCTGATTTTTATATTTTTGGATAGCAATCCTTAATTTCACAATCTGCCCTCCTTTGATACCCAATTCTTTCAGCAAGACATCACTAACTCCTTCAAGCAACTCAACTGTATTGAGCTATGAAAATAAAACAGCCATATTTTATAAAAATTGTAACTATTAACTGACATTAATTTTGCTACATAGTTGACATGTATGCTATAGCTTTCCAGCACAAATAAAACATTTAATCAAGACTGTGACAGACTGCCACATTTAGTGTAGAATAAACAAAAGTCAATGGTAAACCACAATGCATTTTGCGCCCAAAATCCAGCACAAATAAAACATTTAATCAAGACTGTGACAGTCTGACAGACTACCGCATTGTCGCCAACTGGCAGTGGATGTATTGACTAATGACTATTGTATATAATTTGTGATCGATATTTACCTCGTCTTCTGTTAGTTTGTCCAGTACCTGTTGGCTGACTCCGGCACTCAACAAAAACTCCGACAATTCTAGGCCCATTGATGTCTCCTAAAACGAATAAAATGTCGTTGAATTAAGAAAACTATTAAGAAATTCATGCATAAATTCAAGATCGTAGACGCGCGGTCGAGTGGCTTGGCATCTTTTTTATTCTCTTGCCATCTTTTTTATTCTCTTGCCACCAATCCTTCCCCATTTAAATAAAATAATCTTTGCAGTACCTCTAAAAATGAATCCATTCTCTGTATCTGGTCTCTGAAATATGCTTTACACAGTATAAATACAGTATTTTAAAATGATAATTTCAAGACTTAGGGCCTGTTTATATGATCCCGCCTAGCCGGGACGGGACAGTTTCCGAGATCCCGCTTGTAATACAAACACTAATTAGTGTTTATATGACCGCTTTTCCATCCCGCCTAGGCGGGATCCCGGCACTTCTTGCCGGGATCCCGCTTAGACGGGACGAGAAATTGCCATATAAACACTCCATCCCGCTTGCCCGGGATGATTCGCAATTAACATACATTAAGAGCATGGGTATATATTGGCATATTCGTTTTCTACAATAAAACATGCCGTCGAAGGAACCTGCACTACAAAATGAACTGCATATAAACACGCCATCCCGCCTAGGCGAGTTTCCCGGCTAAGCGAGATGAAAACATCCCGTCTCGGCTAGACGGGATCATATAAACAGGCCCTTAGGATCTTTCGCGAGCACGAGGGAGAAAAGAATTTTGAAACCGACGCGCGCTATTCTTATTAGCATTGTCACGTGATCGTCAAAGAAGCACATGATTGGATGACCAATATCTTGCAATGATGACGTAGCAAGGAAAATGCAGAAGTTTGAGAATATAGAAGGAAAATTTGCGTGGAAACACTGTTTATGAAGTTTATGAAGAAACATGGTATATTTTTTATAAAAATATATTGCAAAAGTGTAAAAATGTCCTTTACAAAACCAATAATGTAGTTTTATTTTTATCCGACGAATGAAAAATGGTTTATCGTTGTAGCATGTGTGTTGGTTACCTCACTGTGTCTTTAACGGAACTCCTAGATCACCTACGTAGAAGCCATTCAAATGACCCAAGTTTCCATGTCACTACCATGTGGTTTGTGGTCTCGATGGTTGTCCCAGAACATACAAACGGGTTGTATCTTTTCGAGATATTTTGACTAGAGTTGTTTTGACTCCCAAAAATAAATTATTTACTCTCGTAGATTTACTCCTTTTTTGGAGTGAAAATATAGGAGTAAATTATACAATAATTACTCTAATATGTGTATCCCTTTTCAAGAGTACATTTTACTCCTTTATGAGAGTTGAATTAACTCCCAGAGTAGCAAAACTGGAGTTAAATTTACTCCTGGAGTAAAAATAAAGGAGTAAAAAGTATTCCAATATTTGTACTCCTTTACTGGAGTATATTTTATTCCTACAGTGGAGTAATATTTACTCCTAGTGGAGTAAACGTTTAAATATGAACTGAAGTGGAGTAGATTTAACTCTGGTTTTCGAGTGAAATATACTCCATTATTTCTACTCCTCAAACGGGAGTTATTTCAACTCCTACGGTGGAGTTAAAATTACTCCCCGAAATTAACAGTGAAGCAATTTAAATGCACGCTAGCCCGTTTTCCACAGTAATTATAGTCAATTCAAACGTTTGGTGCTTACATCCAACTGCGGGCCAGCTATGTGTGTCAAACTGGCCAGACCACCCTCACCCCCCCCCTATAAACCCCAGGAAGGATTGAAATTTAGTAAGCCTAAACAATATGTTTGCACAATTGTTTTTAATATATTTACGCAAAAATATCGCACTGAAATCACTCATGTAATCGTTTGCAAATTTTAGCTCGGCAAACCGTGCTAACCTGGTCCATTTAATCGGCCCCTGAGGTGTTTGTTAATGTTCGCAGAGAAGCTAGGGCATGCGTGTGACTCGTGCATCCAGGCATTTCCAGGCATATAAATATAATAGATTGTGCTGCATAATGTGAGCCATTACTTTTTTCCATTGCATAACTTTTTGTTAACTTTTTGTTTTGCATAACGGTTGATATTTTCTGTCCACCACCATTAATCCTTTTATATTTTAATCACGGATCGTGACAAATGGTAACCAGAACCAAAACCAACAATGCAGTCAATATGGAGCACAGCAAGTATGAAGACGAATCCTTTGTTCAGCTCCATCTCCATATGTACGACAACCTGTACGAATACCTGTGCGCCTACCACTACAACCACCCAAGTGCCTCTGACAGGTGATGGAACAGCTACTTATCCTGGCCAGTTTATATACGCCGCGATGTGATTTTCTTCGTTTTGACATTATCTTAATTTCAATTTTTAGGAAAAAAGCAAGATTGTAGTGGGAATAATGGAACTGACTGGTATATCGTTGTTGTTACTTTGGTGTCTGGAATTATCATCGGTGTCATCCTTTCTTACATTGTCTTTCGTGTCCGTTCTAAAAATAGAAATCGTCAAATATCAAACCCTGAACCTCCAACATCTCGTGTTGATCCAACTTACCAAGAACTGGATCTTACAAAAATGAACAAAGAAGACAATTACCAATCGTTGAGAGGAAATGCTGCAAGAAATTATGGTGTTAACGATGAGTCAAATTACACAGAGTTGAACAAAATTAGAGAAGTGGAAAATAACTATCAATCTTTAACTTGAAATTGAAATCATGGCCATCAGGATTGTTGACCCGTCGTGTGTTCTTTTTAAGGACCACATGAAATATTTTCGCCTACATAACTTGAGAATTAATATTGTCGCAAATCTCTTAAAATCTGGGATGCTATTCACTTGATATAACCTTTCCGGTAATCAAGTATCTGCCTATGGGTGTACAGCATTTGCCCTTCATTAAGGGAAAAACAATACTGAATTACGCTTATTGTATACTTAATAGTCCGCTTCTAATTTCAATAACAGCAATAAAATTTCAATTTGGCGTAATGAAAGTTCAATAAAGCTGGATATAAGCGCTATTCACCGGTTTGTGATTGTTTTACTTGCTTTAAAATCGCCCGTTGTTAGGTATAACTTTGATATCGATTAAATCTTAGTAATCTTATAAATTATCGCTTTTCAAGCATTTTTAGAACATTTAAAAAATCACTATCCGGTGGATAGCGCTATCCGGCCTTCGTAAAACCACCGGCCCCTCAGAAGTTTCCATAAGTAAATAGCAACCAAAATACCAAACACTGGGATCGCGTTTAAATGAAATACCCTCAGGCAGCATTTTTACCCATAACCTATTTACTTGTAATCTCGTATCAAAATTCTCGACTGCGGCCAAGAAGTAAAAATTTAACATATAGCATAACCATAGAAGATCTTATACATTCAGGTTGCTGAAATCAAGAATGGATTGTGCGTTGACGATAAGTTGAGTGGAGTGTACGTGGTGGAAGAAGTCCAACATCTTAAGGAGACAGCCATAGAGATCTTTGATGGGGCCCAGTTCAAATTACACAAGTGGCATTCCAATGTTGAAAAGTTGGAAGGAAGTGACCAATCATTTAGCAAAACTGACAAACCAAAGTTACGCCACGAGTCACACAAAACAGTAGGTAAGTGTGAAGAGCCAAGAGACAAAACTTCTTGGTCTACCATGGAATAAAGGTGGAGATAAGATAGGAGTTCAGTTCCCATGCAGCGAACACTGGTGACGAAGTTGCAACTAAGCGAACAGTGTTGAGCACAATCGCATCGATATACTACGACCCCCTGGGCATAATTTCTCCGGCTATCGTGTTAGGAAAAATGATCTACCGTGACATATGTGATCGCCACTTATACCTTGGGACAAGTAACTGCCGAATGACCTAATGAAGTATTGGAAGAAATGGCGTGAAAAAGTGCCAATCAAAATCGAAGTTCCTAGAAGTCTGGTCCGACATAGAGAAGAGACTCAAGCCATCGATTTACACGCGTTTGGAGACACAAGTGGACAGGGAACGTCAGCGGCAGTATACGCGGTTTATAAAAAGAATACACCAGAATCATGGTATGAAGCAAGGACTCGTTACAGCAAAAAAGGGACTAACGATACCAAGATTAGAATTAGTTTCTGGTCTGATGGCGATAAAACTGCTGAACAACATAAGGGCATTGCTTGATGGTCTTCCAGTACGACATTGCTACAGATGGCTGGATAGCATGATCGCCTTATATTGGATTAGCGGTCGTGGGAACTATAAACAGTTCATAAATAATCTAGTAAAACGTATTGGAGAGAAGAGCTACATTTACCTGGAGACATGTAGGAACTAAAGAGAACTCTGCAGATATCGGTAGTCGTGGTTGTCACGCAGATCAACTGCCTACTGATCAATTGACGACTGGCCAACTGAAGTAACGATTGAAGCAACAGAAGAGACGGAAACTGAGGCAAAGCAAACCCGAGAAATCTTCAAGGCCGTAACCCAAGAGGAAGGGATTAAATTCTCTGAGATCCTGATTAATCATTCCTTCTGGAAAACTATGAGAGTATAACAGCATGGGTTGCTAGGTTCATTCATAATGCTAAATCCTAATTTTTTATTTTTCGTGGTCGCAAGTGTGTTTTGGCGCGAAATTTACTAGTATTTGAAAAGTGTATGTGACCGTATTTATTTACGTCACAGTTTTGTCTCCCAAGAGTTGTGGTGCACAGCTCGAAATCTTTGGCTAGTTTTCGATGCGCGATTTGATTTCGCTCGCAAGCTTCACATGGAAGGAGTTACAAGAAATAATGCTTGATGTGGAAATATGCCTGAACAATCGACCACTTACATATGTCGAAGATGATCATGAACTACCGCTTCTAACTCCGAATGCTATGATTAATCGACAACCTGTTGTTCTGACGGTCGAGGATGAGGATTCTGCGGAATGAGAAGAAATGAGGAGGCGAGCCAAACATATCTTAAAGTGCAAGCAGGCGATGTGGAAACGGTGGACGGGAGGGAGGGCACCTTAGGGCTTTGAGGGAGCAACATAATCTCAAGTACGAAGGAAAAGAAAGGATTCCAAAGTTCGGGGAGGTAGTTATTATAATAGATGGATCTATAGAAGTGGCGGAATTCAAACCAAGATGAAAGGTGGCAACGGTCGCCAGACATCCAAGCAG